AGGAAGAGCAAACACCACTCTGCAGCCAGGAAGAGAGCGTCAAAGCTGAGGATCTTTACTGAAGCAGACTGCCTTACCTTTCGCCTAAAGCAGCTGGCCTAGGTTTGAACAGCTAACCTTTTGGTTAGCAGATGAACACTTTAAACCACTGCACAACCTTAGCTCCTTTGGTTACATTTCCAACTTATTTAACTATGTAATAACATCCATTTAACATATGAGGGAGGTTACGCGGAATGGAACTAGGTGATACAATTTTAAAGTTGAGAAGTAATTTAAGTATAATCTGTATATAAACATTAACACTAATTAGAAAATAGTCTTGGAATTTGTCTTTGATAAGGGCTGTAACACAATTTAAGAAACACGTCAAGTGGTATAGAGCTGCTCAGTATTCAAACTATAAACCCACCACTGTTGAGTCAATTTGGGTCATAGCAAATAGGACTCAGCAAACTGATTTGCTCCCTAAGGTTTTCCCTAGCTCTCAATTTTAATGACGCAGACCATCTCATCCTTCTCCCAAGGAGTGGCTGGGAGGTTTGAACTGTTGACCATGCAGTTAGCACACCAAATGTTTAACGAACCCACTATGCCACCAGGGCTGCTTTATTAAACTACAAGGGCTTTTATTTTCACCTCAGACATATTAATCATGCATAATTGTATGAAAAATTAATACTCACTTGATTTTTGGCTGATGAGTTGTCTGGAATATAGTCAGAATTTAGTCAGATTTGAATGAAAAAAATTACATGTCAGTTTCATAATTGTGTGCTAAAATATATGCATTTGTAATTTACCCAGCCCCGTAGCAGCAATTACAACTAGAGTTCCTGTGGAATGTGGTAATCCACCTGAAGCTTCCTTCAAAGACAAAGCGTGGCTTCTCTAACTGGACTCGAAGAGAACTATCTTCACAAAATATCGATACTCAACATTTTCAAGTTTATACTATTTTCATTTTCTACAAATATTTTTCTCCTAAAAGAACATATACAGAAAACATTCTAAGGTAGTAGGAAAGATTAGGCATGTAAAATGTCCAGTGTAGGATTCAGTAAGTGTCTAATCTGAAAATCATAGTAACATTGAAAAAACATTTTAAGAATAGAGGTTGATACAACATTCAGGCTTAACAGTATATCTATCATACACTACTCTAAAACACTCCGACACATTTCCATGGTGCCCTTCTGATAAAGTCCTGCTTCTCAACAGCCAGCCAGGAGCAGATGAGCTATGTAAGTCCTGCTGACACAAGAAGAAGGCTCAGGGAGTAACTCACTTTCAATGTAACAATGTATAATGTATAGAGATGTTAACCTTCTTTAAGAAATAAGGACAGAAATTCAAAAGGGTTAAGTACTGGTCCATAAAGTCAGGATCACATCTGTCTCCTGCCTCCTAGACATTTTATTTCTTGACTAGGTATACAAAGTATCGTAGCTAAAAAAAAAAAAAATGTACATATTAGCTATAAAATATTAATGTATTTAATATGTAAATCTACCTGAGTTTGTTCAAAAAGAAAAAAAGTCAGCTTCCCTCCACTCAACCAGTTTTTAATAACTAAAAAAAAAAAATTTAAGATCTTCATGTAAAAAATAACATGCTGAATTAGAGATAAGTATTTCCCAATTTTACGTAACCGTTTTTATTAGAAGCTATTTAAAAAAAACAAACTCATTACAATTGCTTCCAAGAAAAGTATGAGGGGTCTCCGCAAAATCTGTGGAAAAACTGTATCTTTTAATTCTATTTATTCACAAAATCTTTGAAGCCCCCCATAACTGTTTAACCTAAATAAAAATGATGCTCTTCTAGTACAGATGATATAAGAAGCAATCATCCTGATCATAGCAAAGCATTCCAAACCAACTTGTGCACCACACCCAATTCACTAAAATAGTCTGATAACGTTCTTGGCTATAAACATCTATGTTTATTACACACACGCAATTTATTTCACCTACAAAAGAATAGGAATTTAAATGGGACTGCTTAATATTTAATTGAGACATATTTTACTCTGAACTCAGTCTCAATTATACTCAACACTTGAATTTAAACGTAATTAGTAAAAACAAAAATGATAAAAATTAGACTTACCACTTCAGATTCTGATCCTGTTAACATTAAAAAACACATTTTCAGATATCAGTATGTTTACATGTAAAGTTATATACACTAACTTCCATGCTACATTCAAATAAAAGAAGGTAGTTTAAGTTTGTATCCCAGAAACATTCTAGACTCTTCAGGAATTTCTTACTTCTAATACCATGATAGAATTACAAAGCAAGTCTATCCAAATGCTGTTAACATTATAAATTAGGCACACACACAAAAAAATCACTGAGTCTGTATCTA